AAGCTGAAGAAGCTCGAAAAGCAACAAGGTGATGTGGACGTGAGGGAGACCAATAGGGAGGGGCCAAAAGAGGATTTGGGTAGATGTACGGTGCAGCGTTGGCAGTGGCATGGGCCAACACAGGCAAACAGGAGGGCCCATGGCATTCAAGGAATGTCTGTAATAATCCAGGAGTTTTATATTTGCGTACCACCAGGCGGCGCCACGTATCGGGCTCTTGGGGTGAGCCACAACAATTTCTATTCATTTTTTTTTCTCCCTTTTTTAAAATCACTTATTCCTATTTATTTCGTATTTTTACATATTGTCAATTGTCCAGGGGGATGTACTCAGCGGAATGCATATGTATTATCAACAAGTTTTGATACAACAACCGGAAAAATGGGGGGGGAGGGGGATAAATAAATGAAAATAGAATGAAGATGAAAAAAGACATGGTTGAAATAAATAAAAGGAACCGGTACTTTTGGCTGAGGGGTGCATTTCGTTGCGATTATAAAAGCATCGAGCAGCCCCACGTCGTCGTACAGTCTAGACGGACGGTGGGCCTTCTATCAAAAACAGACCAACGAACTGAAAAGAAATCCTGAAAGGGTAAGGAACTCTCTTCGGGGCGAAATAAAAACGAGGAAATAAATATATGGAAATGAAAAAAAAAAAGAAGAAGACCGTTACCACAATGCAGAAACATTCGAGTTTCTGCTGTGCAAGTATAAAAATGTGGAGAGAATGGGAAAATAAACGCGCCTATGAGACGTCCCAGTTTAATACTTGGCTGACCTTACGGAAGAGAGAAGAAAGAACAACAGTAAACACGATGAGAAAATTGAAGACAAGTCGGGACAAAACTACCGGTGAATTTCCATCAGAATTTGAAAAAGAGAGACGACAAACTGCTGGCCAAGTAACAGCCTTGACCGATCATGACGGCTCAATTGATTATCGTTTAGGAATCGGTGGGTAGATGACCGCTGATTTTTTTTTTCTTTTGGTCAAATAGCGGGCCTTATCTCTCTCGAATTATGGAAATAGTGGTGGGAAAGGAATCATGTAAATTCCGAGAAACAGGGCTGATGATCACTTCTCAGAATACCTGTTGTAAAATTTGTCATTAAATATCGTTTCGTCATTCAACAGATTGAATAGAAGAAAATGGTGACAACCAATACCCGGAAGGAAGTATAAATCACGGAGTTGAGACGTTTAGTCACGTGACTCCACGTCATGAGGAAATATTCGTAAAGTCACATGAATCGTCTATCACTGATAGAAATATTCATTCAGTTTGATCATAGAAAAATTACTACTGTTGAATTTGTTTACTTAGCCAAGTAAATTTACCTGCATGTAGGTATTTCTATTTGAATTATGAATTAGGCAATTTACTCAGCCTTTTCGTTATTCAATAGAGCGAAGTAGTGCTTCCACAAGACTCACACTTCATTTAATGATAATCATATGATCATGGAGTAACAACCAGCAGATGGCATCGTGGAATATAGCTCAAAGTATTGTCTAATAGATTAAAGAAGTGTGGAAATCAGTAGTCCGGACTAATGTACGGTCTAACAAGTAGTTTTCATTCTCTCTTGATTTTATTCTTTTCTTTAACTCCCTGAAAGAATTTTTTCCCGAGTACTCGAGGCAATAGAAAGATGACGCTACCAACTGGATTGTTTGACAATGAATTATTGACCGTTAAATTTGCGGATTGGATACGAAATGATTATTACTGAAGGTAAATACTAAACAATTTCGATCAAAATTTATTATCGAAGTCACAACCGCTATAGACTCCAAATAAATTAACGAGGAATTCATAATTAAGACTATGGAATAGTTGAATAATTGTTTCCGAAATTCTTCTATGAACAGTCATCGCCAAAAAGCGTAAAGCTCAGATAAAAAAATGCAAATACTGAAGGTCAGGAATTCCGTACTGGCCAATGCCTTCCACTTGGCATTTTTCCCTTCGTTTTTGTTTCTTTCCACTCCAAAGGACGTAAACACGAGGGTGGCGCCCACTGGCAAAAATCTACATCCTCCAAAGCCATGAAAAGCGAAAAAAAAAAGAAAGGGAAAAAAAACCTGGGTAGGAAGAAAAAAAGGCTGTGCAATATGCGGAAATATCCGTACAAAAAGCCCTTCCACATCGTTCAAAACAATCTGCACAGTTGCATATGTGTGGAAGGCGTTTGGTAGACCATAAAAAGTGGTGGTGAAAAAGAAAAAAAAAAGTAGAGGGGAGTATGGCTTGCGTTTTGGGCGGAAGTCCGTTGATGCGACATAACCTATAATGAAAAAAACGAATGGTAGGTCGCGGTTGTAGAGCGCGACAGGAGCCACGCTATCACGCGAAGGAAGAAACACTTGTCCAATACTCCATTAATTTTATCAATCAGACAATGTGCAGGACAATAAGCCAGAATTGTTGATGATTGATAAGCGAGAGTTGGTATACGGCGTCAATCACCGTTAACGCGAGTCCGACAAAAATTTTTTAGTCGGTCAATAAAAATTCTAATTCATTATAAATGATGATAAATTTAACAACTCACGTTCATCCGTATCCTCGACGTCGGCATTCTGTAGATAAGATATATCTGAAACCCACAAACACCACAGGTTAAATATGAAAAAATCCCTCGTGTTTTACGCAAGCCCTCGTCCCGTCCACGGAACACTTCACTCACCCGCCATCTTGTAACAAACTATCCTGACATCTTGCGACAGTTTTGCCAAAAATTCACGAATCTTTGGTCTCATTTTCACGAAGTGTGGTGAATTGTAGTCGACGAAATTCAAAATGTTGATAACCAAAAAAAAAAAAAGATATTGATATGGAAAAAAAAAGATGATGGATAAACAAAAGAAATTATTTGCCAGATAGGTTTGAAGAGAGATCAAGTAAACAGCATATAAAACGTTAATGATCTTTATATATACATATCCTATGTACATATAGTTTGTTGCATGATAGAGTGATGTTAGAATTAACATTTTTTAATTTTTCAATTTATTTTTCATCTCTCAAAGATCCCTCAATACAACAACGAATTAAATTCTTCCATTGTTTCGAGAAACAATAATTCGACGAATAGAGTATCAGAATAAACGCATTAAATCTGCCGACAGCTAGTACCCTTTATTTTTTATTTAATATTTAGTCGGTGCTACGCAATGGGCTGTCAGTCCCACAAACAATACCATTCATAATGCATCTTTAAGCTCAGTCCTCCATGTTTACTTAATTTTAATTTTTTGCCTGATTGTTTTTTAAAGAAATACTGCTTCTTCATCTATTTAATATAAAGGATAAAGAAATGACGGAATGATTCTGTTTGAGTATCGTTTATGATAAGAATCGATGGAGTAATTGATTAAAAAAATAGTTGCATCCTAATAATGTCAATTGATTTAAATCGATTGTTCAGGGTTAGTCGTTACGACTAAAGTCACGCGGTGTCTAATGCTACTTCCTCGATTGTTGCTCTGCACATTGGGCACTCAATGAGTTGCATTGGGCATGTCTGACAGAAGCCCCTGGAAATCAAATAATTAAATATTAATAAATCATTGAATACGACTCTGTTTGTTTACAGTAGATAACTTTACCTGTGATCACATGGCAACAGCCTAACAGACGCCTTCTGATCATAACACAATGTACAAGAGTCCTCTCTCACACTCAATTTTCTTAACTGATCAAGATAAATATGTCGAGGCAGAACAACTTTATCCTCAGGAGTGAGTGTAGCGTGATCATTGAACTTTTGGAAATGACGATCAGTCGGAGGATACTTGAAAGGAATATTTCCAAAATTGAAAAGACACTGTTGAAATGACATGAAACTGGCAGCAGCAAAAAATCCCGATCTTGAACATAAAACGGCAATCATTGAATCATTAGTTCGCTATTCCAAGACACTTGACACTATTTATCAATAACGAGTCATTAATTCGATGAAGTAATTTGATAATTTGAGTCGTATAATTTGATAACTCACCTGGCTGTTTTGAAAACTTGTACACAGGGTTTTAGTGGTACACCATTGATGGAGAATATGATTTCCAACTTATCCAAGTCCAGCAGACAGCCAAGGACATCACCAGCCTTCCAGGGTGGTCTATCGGTGTATTTTTCGCTGGCTGCATTGTACCAGATCAATCGACGACATCCATCACAGGATAATGAGTATGAATCGTCGCCTATTCCATAACCCTCGTGATTCAAAAATGTACTATTCTTTGTTGCCCATCCAATTTGCATTACACCGGTAGTCATTATCAAAGTTTCGTAGTACCAAACACCATTATCAACTTGCAATGTACATCTAACACTCTCAAAAGTGTATGCATCACAGCGTGCTTCAAGACCATTTGGCGATATTTTCAGGTACTCGCTTACATCCTTTGTATTTAACATCACATTTATACCAGTTAAGTCAACTGTGTCATGGGAATATTTTCTGCCTTCTATCAAAACTGAAAATAAAAGGAAATAACGAAATTATCAATAAATATTCTCTATATAAATTTCAAGCAATTGAATATTTACATAAATTATCCAAGCACCACTGTGCGGAAAAGCCCACTTGACGTTTAACATAATTATTCTCAGTTGCCCACGTCTCCAATATCAACAACGGATGTTCTTTCTCAGCCATAAGTCTCTTTTGTATCGTCAATTTATTCTCACTCGTCTGTGCAAATTTCTCTAGTGCAATTAATGAGTACAGAACAACATAAGGCTCTACGTCTTCTTTCAGGTTCGAAACGAGGTAATCGAGTGTTGCGTTGGACAACACAGCGATACTGCTAGGTCCTGCTAATTTCTCGGCAATGCATCCTAGGACTATACAAATATTCCTCTGCTGACTCACACTGGTCTGCAGCTTTCCCGTATCCTGGGAGAGTTGAAACATTTGTGATAGTTTTGAGACCGAATCCTGTAAATGATAAATCATGTAAATTATTGCATCAATCATTTATAGTCAAATTGGATTAATCGAATGTTGCAAGAACGAGAAGAAGCAGACAAGAACGTTATACTCTTTTAATTCTCTATGGATATCATAATTGTCAGGCATATTTCATGTTTACGAATTTTTTATATTAATATCACAGCATTGGTGGATTTTATTTGTTTGGAAAATCGTGCATTACCTTCGAAGGCAGAGGACAGTCGTTGAGAAGAAGAGTAATAACTGATGGACCTAGAGGACTGTGCATGGGGATGACGTTGACCATCGAGCTAACCACTTGGATCCAGCCTTCCTCTTTGTCTGCTATCGTATGGAGCTTGAGCATCGCTGGGGGTGGCTCTTGTTCACTAAAAAAAATTAAAAACCGCCCATTAAAAATAAATAATTAAAATTTCAGACAATTATGTGGACCGAATGGTCCATAAGATCTTCATCTCGTCTTCATTAACTCTTTTATTCATGAGTCCATGATAAATAATTAAAAATTATGAATTATAACGAATTCTCTTACTTGTCAACAAGTGCTCCAATGACCCCGAGGGTCTCCAACACCAGTTTATCAATATTGGATGAGGTAGGAAACTTGTAGCAGGGTGGATCATCACTTCCTCCAAGACTTCCATGACAATGATTATCCGAAATAACAGTGTTCTCTACCTCAACATGATTTCCATCACAATCAACCTCAGGTTCATCAGCACTGTCTTTACACAAACAATTGCCCATTCCCACAAATTCCCTTACACAGGCGTTATCAATAATTCAGTACATGACCTTCAGAGGTTGTAATTCTCATCTAGATCTTAAGCCCCAAGTCATTTCCCCAGGTGAATGCAGCCAAGAATTTCTTCACAGCCTCATCATTCGTCCAAAGTTGTCACCGTCAGGTGATGATTACTGTTTTCCTCGATGAGCAGAATAAACACCCGAACATAAAATATTATATGATCTCACAAAGGGGATAACAAATGTCAACGCATACTCGTGACTCACAGTCAATTTATCTTATCAACTTGGAGCGTGAAAGAATTTCACTTTGAAATCCAATTGACTCCATTAATTTTCAGGTTATGTTCTACAACAGATCAAGCCGATTTGGAATCAACAACAATCACTTCATCCATTATTGTTAACCTGTTGGAATTGTCTTCTGGAGATTCTGCTCATTACCACAATCAGAAGATCATCAGCTGAGTTTTTTTCATGGGTCTCGGTGATTCTTCTACTTCAAAACCTCCCGTTATCCTTGCCCTCAATTAACTTTTATTTAATAGAGAAAATTATTTCTCGTAACACTTTTACGGATTCCAAGATCTACAAGTGTACATAATCATCACATATACACTACTGGACATTCCATATACCTGGATACATAATCTCCATTGAGTATGCAATTTTTAAAGACGTGTGTTCGTCAAACATTTGCAATTCTCACATCAATTGAAATGAATATATGTTACTTTGTAACTTCTAATCAATGAAAACTCCTAACACTGCAATAAAAATAAACATCAAACTTGCACTGAACATGACGCCAATTCCGTTCAACGAATTGTTAATTGAACATAAATGCAAAGTTCAATGAATAAAATGATAAAAAAAAAGTCAGCGATGACGAACGCTTTTGTTTGTAAAAAATAATGAAAAAAAAGTTGAAACTGAAAAATATAATTGTACGACTGATCTACTATCGGTAAGGAGAGTTGTGGATTTATCATTGTTATCGGGATCAGCTGTGTTATTGTTTCTGATTTGTTAGTATTTTCTAGTACGTGATACTTCAGAAGACTGGACCCCTCATTTCATGAGATAAATATATCTCAGTATCATCTGGAAATTGATTTAAATTTCCGGATTCCCGTGGATCAGTTTCAATGGAGATTCTTTGACTGCAGGAGAATAAATTTATAATGTGGACTTTACGAAGTGTAATATTTTTTATAATTGTTCTATGGGCCGGATGTGACGTTTGTCATTGCAATATCAAACAGCCGACGATTTTGGTGGCGGTTTTAGTAAGAAATAAAGCTCATACTTTGCCCTATTTTCTCAGCCTCTTCGAGAATTTGAATTATCCAAAGGAGAGGATTAGTTTGTGGTGAGTATTTCAATTTCTTAGTTAATTGTCGAGCCTCTCAATGGTGTTCTCTTTAATTGATTGGTTAATTGATTACCCATTGTTTTAGGATTCGAAGTGATAACAATATAGATAATTCCATCGAGATCCTATCGAAATGGCTAAACAAGGAAGGAAAGCATTACCATTCCATAAACGCAAGATTGGATTCAGAATCCCATGGATTTGATGACGAGAAAGGAACAGCCGATTGGTCTAATGATCGATTTACTCATGTAATTAATCTGCGACAGGAAGCGTTAGATTATGCACGAGAATCGTGGGCTGATTACATTTTTGTGAGTGATAATTTATGAATGACTCAGTTTTAATTCCTCTACAACAAAAAAAATCATGATGACCTGATTGATTTTCAGATGTTGGATGCTGATGTTCTCTTGACGAATCCCAATACGTTGAAAATTTTAATTGATAAACAGAAGAGTGTGGTAGCCCCTCTCTTGAAATCTGATGGGTTGTACAGTAATTTCTGGGCAGGAATGACTCAGGATTATTATTACCTGAGGACTGAGAGATATAAACCTATAGTAAATCGTATAGAAAAGGGCTGTCATGATGTTCCAATGATTCACAGTGCTGTCATGGTAGATCTGAAGAAGGTGGAGAGTGATTATTTGACTTATGAGCCCAAGAGTATCGATAATTATGCTGGTCCAGATGATGACATCATCGCTTTTGCACTTGGTGCTAATTCTTCTGGTATGTCGTTTTTATTACCTCTAAACCATTATCTTCCTTATAAAAAGTAAAATACGATTATTTGTTTCAGGAATTTCTCTTCATGTTTGCAACGATGAAATTTACGGATTTATTATGGTTCCATTGGAGTCTGGTGATCCGCTCGAAGCAGATATCGAGCAACTGACTAATTTGAAATTAGAAATCTTAGGCTATCAGCTCGAAATTCCCGTGTCCCCCGTGCTGAGGGAATTTGTAAAATACTCGAGGAAGGATACCCTCGGTATGGATCATATCTTCATGATAAATCTGGAGAGGAGAATTGAAAGACGTTTGCGGATGGAACGATGCTTCGATGAGCTGGGGGTTGAGGTAGAAACATTGGCTGCTGTGGACGGTCGGTACGTACCCTTGATATCTCAGTACTTTTGTTCCTGAATTCAAGAATTGCAGTTCCCAAATCCCTGAGTTTCAATTTTTTTGTCAATTACCAATTCCGCGCTTACGAGTTCAAATTTCATTCCTGGACTGTCCCATAAATTTTCGAGGATATCTCAACTACTTGGATCATACCATTCAATCAATTGTGGTTTTTAATATTTTGTATTGCAAATTCTGTATTTAAAATTACCTTATTACTAATTTTACCATTGATTTTATATCCAAATTTAAATCCGCAAATCCACGACAGAATTATATTATATTAGAGTAATTGATAATTGAGAAAATGATGAAGATGAATTGAAAGATTCCATTGAATTGAAAGATAGAGATGATTTGCAAGCAGAGTGAAATAATTCATAGAGAAGTTTTTTCTCGCTGACTCCTGGGGGTAGTGTAACTGTACTTGCTGTCATGCTGTGAGCACTTGGTACTCCGGATATGCCCAACTTGACAAACAGCTGATTTCGATTGAGATGCTCGATCTCTGAATATTCCCTCGTAGCTCTGAAGTCCAAGCGAGTCTTTATCTCCCACTGCTCTCCCAAATTTACAAAGAGATGATCGCATTCGTTTTGTTGCCACTTGAATTTCATGCATTCGTGCTGCGTAAATTATGGGGTTGACGATGGTTTTTAGGATGAGTAGGCAATGCGATGCACTGTAGACTAGGAATCGCGGATATTTAGATATCCAGTCGAATGGCAGCAGGCAATCATCGCAGACAAAGACAAATAGAAACGTTGCTGGCATCCAGCCAATCATGAAACTTCCTTAAACATTAAAAAAAATATCAAATTTAATTTTGTATTCGGGTACTCACAGAAATTTCTGGAAATTTTAGTCAACGCATTGTCTGAATCATGAGTGATGATGAGTTTCTAATGATTTTCATTTGAAAATATTCACTGAATTCCAAATGTTTCAATTTTTCCCTTAGAAAAAAACTATTTCGCTTCATAAAAATTCATAGAATTCAGCCACAGCTGAATAATTTCTATAATTTCACCTCTAAAGTTACCAGAAATAATTCCCATCATGAAACTCACCGAGAATTAATAGAGTCGTGCGAATGGCTTTGATATTTTTCGCCAATAGGTGATAAGTATTCTGGTGAATTTTGTTGCTCCCATTCCGCCGAAATGATAAACCAACACGACTGAATCGTAATCTCGACGCTTGATGCTTGCGTACAATATGAAAGATGTGAGCATAGATGCAGACCATCAGTACAAAAGGTCCAAAAAAAAGACTGCCAAACATCACTCGGAAGTTCTTCTTCAAAAGAAACCTAAAATGCTAGTTAATAATAAAACTGTTCTGAATTCAATTGAATAAAGAAATTCGTTAATTTGCGTACGTAATGTTCTTGCATCCTGGCGATTGGAAGCCTTCATTCTCTATAAGATTGAAATAAGCCATGAAAAAGCAGAGGGGAAGGGTCCAGAGTAAAATCGTGAGGCAAGTTGTCATTCTGGAATTAGATTAATAATCAGTAACAAATATACAATCAAATATTTATTTCATTACACACGAATTAACGCACCGATGAGTCATTATCGATAGATAATGAAGTGGTTTGAGAATCCCTAGATAATGATTGATGGCTAGTGTAACCAAGTGCCCTAAAGTAATAATGACAGCACCAATTCTGATGACCTCCAGGCCCAAAAGAAAGCACCTAGTACCTTTCAACAATAATTTCAATGATCTTTTTGTGCGATTCAACTTCACACTGTCCAGTAGTGTACTGTACAGTCGTTTCAATGATTAGAATGTTATTCTCCTGAAAGACGTACCTGGAAGTTTCAATCCCAGCCCTTCAGGAATGAAACTATTCCCCACAAGTCCGATACCAAGAGCTGCACTGGAAAAAGCATCAGCACCAGCAAGACTCAGACTGATCTGCAATGTGGGACTCAGGGGTCTTCTGATCCAGTAGACACATCCTAGGATTTTTACATTAACGGCAATTGAAATTATGCAAAAGAATATCAATGGCAGTGTTCCATAAAAATATAAAAGCCTCATGCGGTGACTGTCGATGTCAGGTGCATTGGAATCGTCTACGGATTTGTTCAGCATTGCGACAAGATTTGTTGCATCAACTTCTAAAGTCCTCGTTGCTAAGTAATTATAGGCCAAGGACGATAAATTCATAATTGCCTGATTGGATCGTTCGACGGGACTTGAGTCATTGTCGTCCATTCTATTTTATATGAAGAATCCTCCGCACGGATGAAAATTTATTTTCATATTTCTTTCATTTAAACTCCTCCATTAATTTCTGTAACAAAAATAATTAATTGGGAAGTATTAAATCAGAAATGAGGAGTTCATAATTGTCTTTTTACTGGAAACTACTAGGGTACTGGTATTATAAAATTATTATTTAATCTGATGACGTGAAATGGATGATGAATGCAGTTTTTTGGCGTCAGTTGTAGATGATTTGATATTTTTTTATCCTTCACGGGTTTTAAAGGAGATTTCGACTAGAATCTTTGGAGAAACTTAATTCCTCTTCCGGATGAAAGACGTTTGAGGAGAGTATCAAGAAGTTTCTCGTTATTGATTGCTATCGTAAGCCTAGATTGGAGCCTGGGGACGCGGCTTATCAAAAGACCAAAGAAAACAATTTATCCTCGCCTCAAGGGGGATAAAGGCTTGATACAATGATGTGTGTGTGGATGATCTCAAGGATGTTCATGAGGAACACTGGGGTACGTCGTAGCAGGAATGTAATTAGCGAGCTGCAGTCCATCGTTAGAACTTTGATCATTTGAGATAATTATTTTTCTACAGCAATTTAATTCCCGCACTTTACCGAAAAATATAGGTATGACGGGACTAAAACTTCTGAATTGTCAAAATTTTTTCAGTTAATCCTATGAATTTTTATATCTTAATAATGGATTTGGAAATGGAAAAAATTTGATTTTTTAATTAATCAACGATGGTTGTAATTTATTTCCGGGTCTTAGATGATAAAATACTCAGAATTTGGAAAAAAATAGTGGAACAACAAATTCTTGCATACTCTAAGGCCCTAAGGGCCTAAGGGGCCTGATGGAAAGATCATTTTCTTCCCATAAAATCAATCATTTGATTCACAGAAAAATGAAATCTCTAGAAAATTATTTTTATGTTAAATCCAATTTTTTCAGTGAACAAATGATTAATTTTTCATATATTCGTCTGTGAGGCGATGATAAAACCATCAAACAGCTTAAGGGGAGAAAAGTGACATTGAGTTCCGCGCGCATGATTTGTATAGGGTTCTATATGATCTAGGATGTTGATTTAAGATTATACATTTTAGATTCTTATAAGAACTTTCCGATCTCATTATTATTTCGATAACTGATATTCAGGACGGAAACGAATGCACAACGCAGCTCATTAATTAGGTAATCAACTGCTTATCAGCTGGACCTCACAATTTAGATAAAAATAATGAAATGCTGTAAAAAAAATTTGATCTGAACATCATTTCATCCGGAATTACGGAAAATATTGATATTTTTCATTGAATATTGTCCTCTGTACAACAAATTTTTCATTCATCCGACTTTTATAGTTTTCCATCTATATTTCATTATAATTTTGATAACAGATATTTGGCGTGAAAACAATTCTATGATTTGGAATGATTTATCATAAACATTAATTGATATGTTATTGAAATCACTTATCATCGATGAAGTGACTTACCTACTTGCGCTTTTCCGGTCTTTCCTTGACGCTCTTCACTTTCGAAATAAGAGGAAAATCGTCTATAGTCGAGCTGCGCGTGACAGTTCCAACGCGGTTTCTTGTGAGAGGGGAAAATTGACGTGTGAGGGCTTTTTTTGGGGGAAATAATTTGAGCTGCGAGATTATTAACACCTTGCGCAGAAAGCACTCGAAAGAAATGAATAAATTAATTACTTCTGATTGACTCTTGAATTACTGATCACAGCAGTTGAAAATCATACCTCATCTTCTTGAAAATCCACTGATAAATATTTTTTACTCTAATTATTAATTGTTAATAGAAACAACAAAATTGTCAATGAACTAAAACAAAATTGAAATTCTGTTTTCCCTTGCAATTTAGTCACCACGAATTAAAGTCTAATTAATTACTTTCGATTTCTCAAATTGCGAGAAAATGCATTATTAATATTGCAGAAAAATTATTATTAATGTTGCAGAAAATTGAACGAGACAATTTTGGCGGATTGGGGAATCAAGATGATGCCGCAGTATGCGGACCCTTATCATAAAAGGTAAATAAATTGACAATCCCATTAGAATTATTGTTATCAAGATAAAATAGAATTGCTGTTCAATTCATTAGCTTCGCTGTTAAAATAAATTGGGGAATTAATAGAGGAAACGATTGGGAGAGGATAGAAGGAAAATAATCATCTGTTGTCTGATTCGAATTTATAGACCCATGAAAATGGGAGAAATTGGCTGTTTTCTCAGTCACTACATCATCTGGAAGAGGATGATCGATGACAATTACAAACAAGTTATGGTACTTGAAGATGATGTTCGCTTCGAGCCTTATTTTCGAAATAAAGTCAACGTTGTTATGGGGGAATTGAAGAATCTGCAATTAGAATGGGATTTAGTGTAAGAAACATTTTATTATTATCCATTTTCATTTTTTATTGATCAATCTGGATTAACATTATCTCATTAATTTAATTAAAATAATTTCGATATCGATTTCAAGCAATAATTAATTAATTTCTTACTGGTTATGATGAACTCATGGAACTCGATAATTTGAGACTGAAATATTGAATAATAATTATTTTCGAAACGATTAATTTCATAAAATAAAGAAGAAGTTTCTGTATTTACCTTTGAATTAATTTAATGTTAATATTGTTGAATGTATTGAATTGATTTTCATCCGAATTATCATCTCCATTCAATAATTTAAATTATATAGATTTTAATTATGTTATTTCTCGCGATAAGAAAATCAAAATGCACATTTCGACTGATTAATTAAATAATCAACTGCTTATGATCTGAAATGCACAATTCAAAATTCAGACAAAAATTGTATGAAATTTCCTCAGTCTCGAAATTTTTAATTTTCGGAATTGCAAAATATATTCGCATTTTCAGTTGAATATTACCCTCTGTGCACAAAGATGTCCTGAATTTTTTCCTTGATGCTATTTTTATAGTTATTCATTTATAAAATCACATTATTATTTTGATAACAGATATTTAGGGCGAAAACGAATGCAGGAAGAGGATGAGCCTTACGTGCTGAGTTCAAAGTACCTAGTGCACGCTGGCTACAGCTATTGGACCCTGGGTTACATATTATCCCAAACAGGAGCACAAAAACTACTCGACGCAAAGCCGCTTAATTCCCTCGTCCCAGTTGATGAATATCTCCCAATTCTCTTCGACAAACACCCAAGAGCCAACTGGAAAGGATACTTCCCGGTGCGCAATTTAATAGCATTTTCCACAGCGCCATTACTGATTTTTCCCACGCATTACACTGGCGAATCTGGTTACATCAGTGATACGGAAAATTCCAATATCATCAGTGAAGATAAAATCGCAGCGAGAAAAAACGAACTCTAAAATGGATTTAACAGTTTGGAGTGGGGGAAGAGGAGAAAAAGAGGCCCCGACAAATGGGGGCGGGGCCTTAAAGGAAATTCGATATTCCCGAAACTAGTGCCAGAGTTTATGCCATTTTGTTATATTATAAAAGAGGACTAATTTTTATACATCAAATTATTTTAATGACAAATTTAGCAACTGCCAAAGTATATTTGATATAAAGAACTTTTATATTTATTCATCAGTCGTTTTTATATCCCGAATTACTGGAGATGAGATTGAATAAATATAGCTGTGCAATAATTACTTCGTTATTTATATTTTATTAATTACTACCTCTCATTATTTCAGATTTATAGAAAAGCGAATTTTATTTCGATTTAATTGAGTCGTCATGGGAATGGGATATATTCAGAATATATTTAGCCCACATCTGGTATATATCTTGGAATATATGAGGGAATATAATTGCGATAAATAGTGGGGTGTATGTTCTCTTTTCGATGTAGATCATCGATTTCACCACTGGAGATACGTTTACGTGAGGATTCCCATTGAATTCGAGATTTTGTCAATTGAATACGAAAAAAAAAACAAGGCCCATTCGGTTTTTCCTGTCCCCATTGTCACATTTTGTCCCCTCGTCGGGCCCACCACCGGTTGCGACACAATTCTCCCCCAGGAATCGTCACTTTTTGTCGGGATGTCGCACAGAATACGTACGCGATTAGTCCCCAGCTCGAATAATCACCAAAAGTGTCATCCAAACATCAATATTATTTTTTAAATAAACAACAAAAATTAATATTAATTAACTCTGCAGTCCACTTTCTCCCAAAATTATACAATTTTCCATTACAAAATCATTATCAATTATAAAATTTTCCAATTTTCGGAGTTCAAATTGCAGAAAAAATGGAACAACTCGCGGTGAGAATTCTCGATCAATGAAGTTTTGTTTATTTTTATTTAATTAATAAATCTGTGGAGTGGAATCTTAAGAAAAAATCGGTCCATTATGGCCGCTACATCCACTTGAATTGTCCCATCTTTTCTTTGTCAACTCGCAGGATTAGTGAATTTACCCTCCATTTTCGTCATGTGTCGTCTTTTTGGATTGGTTTTTTGAGATTTTTAGTGAAAATTAATGGAAAAAATATGGAAAATACCGGGGAAGTGACGAGCATTCGGAAAAGTCGTAAAACACAAGCGTGGTTGGACGAACATGGAAATAAAGGAAACGATATTATACGAATCGAGGGTGTGGACAGGCTGGTGACGCGAAATTTATTGAGGAGTACAGAGCAAGTGGATAAAAATGATGATTTATCCTTTGGGACATTAATATGGGGATATTGCAGAGGATGGTGGCCAGGTGACGATTTTTTTTGTTCCCCATTGAATTATTACCCAGTGATAAAGCGAAATTTATCCAATTCAGAAAGATTCGGCACAAATTATTTGTCTTGCTGTACTCAGCCTGTTAATCCCCATAATCATGAATTTTATAATTTATTTATCGTTCCAGCGCTAGTGATTGCTCCGGAAGATTTGAAGAATAATGGAAACCCCAAGAAATTGTGGGTTTTTTGGTTGATCGATTCCAAAGTTTCACAACTGATAAAAACGTCTCAAGTGATAATGTTTTGTGATGGCGACCAGGAGCGATTGATAACAATCATTCGTAAAATGAAAGTTTTTGATAATCCGTTTATTAAAATAATGGAGGTATTTTAAAGACTGCATTTATTTAATGTCTTACTCGATAAATAAAATGGTTAAACAAACTGTGGAATCCAAATAGAATTGAAATGGAATTAAAATAAATCTAAAATTCAGAATGGACTGATAAAATTCGTCGGAATGAATTATTAAATTAATGAGAGTTCGGCCTAATTAAGTTCGACAATTAAGTCGAGAATAATTTCTCTTTCTCATAAAAAATTAATAACAAAATTGAAGTGGTGAAAAATTCGATTGCATTCAAATTTAGTTAAAAAATTATTCTATTCGTTGCAGTTTTGCAAATTCGTTAAATTGTTGAGGAGAATTAGGCGAAGTGTTCAATGAATAAATTAAGAAGAATGGGAGATTGGAGATTTTTTAATTGAATCATTAGTGATTGAATTTAATATCGAGTTACAAGAGTGAAATAAATTTTCAGATACTCGCAAATAGGATGGAATGTATTTTCTCGAGACCCTACGAGGAATGGATAGAAAAATATTTTTCTACTTTAATTAATCACAGAGAGTATCTAATATTCTATCCGTATCCATCTCAAGTCGCTGAATCATTGGAGACATTCAGGAAAGTTAATCAACAAATTAATTTACAATCAGCGAAAGCACCACCTCCAGTGAAGCGTAAAAATTCCACTAAAAAAATCCACCAATCACTTGAAAAATCTTCTGAACGGATAAATTCAAATCATTTGAATGTCAAGTCCCAAAAAATTGGGGCCATCACGTGGGCGAAGATTCCAGGACAAATTTGGTGGCCAGGTAATGAATAAAATATTAAAAATCAATATAATATTGAAAAATTACACTTTAAACTTCAATTTTTAAATCGTTAAATTTTTAACAATGACAAAATGACGAATCATTCAATCCCCTGAATATTCTGTTAATTCTCAATTAGTGGAGAATTCAGGCAATGATTTCCCCGAATTTTCAATTTGTTATACAATTTAACATGAAAAACCGAAATTTAGAGACCGATTTCAATCGAAATTGAATTCAATCTCATATAATTAAAAATCCAGATGACTTCGTGACTGAAATTCCGAGAATTCTTAACGAGTTTAGAAATATTCCGAAGATTATTGGAATATTCAAGTCCCATCGCATCTGATTTATATCCATTTTATTTGTTTTAAGCAATGATTATTGATTACCGAGACTGTGCAATGAACGAACCAAAAGCAGAATCGCAATGGGTCATGTGGTACGGCGATTACACGCTATCTCAAGTTAATTATAAATATTTCATGGAGTTTCGTGTGGGAATTAAGAAATTTGAGGATCACATAAGACAGTCAAAAAGAGAAACGTACAAGCGAGGGATTTTGGAGGCTTCCAAGGATTACTGTACCTTTTCTGGATGTCAGACAGATAATTGGGATATAAATGATATTTTCAATTGGTTCCAAGTGGACAATCCATCGTCCAATTATCTCGATAACGAGAACAATAAATATTCTCCGAAAATTCGGATGGAATTGTTAAAACATGTCAGTAGGACCAGCGAAGCAGCTGTTCGGGAGCATAAATTGCAAAATACTGGTGAGAGAATGAAATTCGAGAATTAAATTATCTCTTCGAATAATTAATCGGGCATATACCATGCAGATTTTCTTACAAAAAAAAGATTAATTTTTAAAAAACAATATGGGATTAATTTCGGTATATTCTGAGTGCACTGTAGTTTATATGGAATTTGTAAGGAATTATTATGAAATAATAATGAAATAATTCCAGAAATCTTACGCGTCATCAGTTCGCATCATTCAGACACGGAAAAATCAATTTGTCTGATGTGTTTGGAGAGGAATCAAAGGACAATGCATGAACATCCTTTTTTCATCGGTTTATTATGCGATAATTGCATGGTAAGTCGACAGAATGTTAATATTATTGATAAATTAACATTTTACCCCACTGTTTCACAGATCAGTTACAGATCAACTATTTTCGCTTACGATGACGACGGAAAATGTGTAAGTACTCATTTATAGATTCAATTGATTAGTGGAAATATTAAATGAATCTTAACTTTTCAGTTCTTCTGCGCTCTTTGCACTGTTACCGATACTGTCGTCATTTGTGATAATCCTGATTGTCCGAGGTGAATTATCCATTGTTCAATAATAAATTATGAATATTAAGGGTAACAAGGAAATTATGATATTTTTCAGAGTGTACTGCACTGTCTGTATGAAATATTTAATCGCTCCTGATTCATATCGTGAAGTTCTTAAAAAGAAAGAGTGGAATTGTTTCCTGTGCAGTGAATCATCCCATGTACTGAGTAATTCGTTGGTAAACCCGAGAGACGACTGGAAAATGAGAATTCAAAAAATGTTTTCTATCAATCGTCATTCTATCTCTCATTACATGCAGTACTACGAGCAGAAAAAGAAAATTCGTGTGCTATCGCTTTTCGATGGCATCAGTTCTGGTGTGTGTTAATTATTATTTTGGTTTTGGTTGAAAGAGAAAAATGCAGACTTTTTTTTAAATTTTTATAAAGGTTTTCTGGGTCTTCAGCGCCTTGGAATTGATATCGACGCATATTTCGCGAGTGAAATAGATACAGACGCCGAATTAGTGAGCAAAGTACACTTTGGCACGACAATAATTCGATTAGGAGACGTCAGGAATATCACGCGGGAAATATTGAATAATTTATTGCCTATCGATTTATTAATCGGCGGTTCGCCATGCAACGATTTAAGTTTAGTGAATCCAAAACGTCGAGGAATTCATGGTGAATCCTTACAAATCTCATTCAATAAAATCCAATCAATGGGATAAATAAATAAATATTTTTATTTTACAGATCCTAATGGAACAGGAATTCTCTTTTTCGAATATTGTCGGATAAAAAATGACATTGAAGAAGCGAATGAAGGCAGAAATCTGTTCTGGTTGTTCGAAAATGTCGCGTCAATGCCCGAGGAATATAAAAAAGAAATTGACAAGTAATTGACATTTTTTTATTATTATTATACTTCAGGCAATTGCGTACAACAATCGATAACTGCGATAAAATTAGAAAATTGGATAATCCTGCACATTTATTTATTTATGCATGATATGCAACGTATTACTAAAATAATAATGACAAATTAATTATGATTGCATTATCTCAGTTTTAATTCGGGATAAATTGATAGTGAGACATGGAAAACCGAAATTCCGTAAATAGCGAACGATACCGATAATTTTTATATTTTTTTCGGTGACTAGGAATCTCAGATGTGAACCTGATCTCATCGACTCCGCGGAATTTTCTCCTCAACACAGGCCACGATATTACTGGACAAACATCCCCATGGCATCCTACACTCCACTCGTGAAAGATCTCCAAGATGTCTTGACCCCAAATTGCAATCGTCACGCATTAGTCAAGAAAATTCGTACAGTCACCACTCAATTGAAGTCATTAAAACAAGGTATGTACCCCTTGACTCTTAGGATTAGCTGAAATGGATTAATTATGAGAATATCTATCGACAGGTTCGAGAGCCTTGAAGCCAATAATAATGGGTGAGGAGTACGACTGCCTCTGGACAACCGAATTAGAAGAGATTTTTGGATTTCCTCGTCATTACACCGACATAAAAAATTTGAGTGCAACTAAACGCCAGAAATTGATTGGTCAAGCTTGGTGTGTCAGGACAATTACCGAAATCCTAAGGCCCTTGAAACATTATTTTTCTCTCAACAAGATTTGCAATTAATAATAATTAATCATTCAATTTTTTCCTACTGTCCTTAAATTTTGCATTGAAATACTAGAGAAACATATTCTCTCTGTCAAACTATCAATCTGTTAATTCAGAAGCTAGAGAAATTAGTGTTTAATTCATTCTTTACAGTTGTCAGTAAATATAGAATAATAAATCATGACACTAGCTGTAATTTTTATCTGGATTATTCCAGCGATAGTTGTACTTGTTCCAATCGTTTTGGTGATCAATCCACAACCATTAATACCGTTCTTAGCGAAATATCTTAACCTTCCTGAATGGGATCCAAGCCCAGAAGCTGTAGTGAAGGAAAACTACACACTATACGCATCAGATGGAAAACAGAAAATGATCGCTGTTTTCACCAGTGATTTGTTCGTTCTCAATGATCTGAAAACGACTTATGGCTTCACAAATGAGCTTTATTCACGCGTGAAAGATGATTTCGATGTGGTAGTTCTGAAATATCCTCTGCGAATGAAATCATCATTACGCGATTCAATAGTGCACTTTGGCGAGACATTATGTAAGGATTTTCTGCACTACAGATATTGGCATGCCATTAGTTTTTCAACTGCAACACTTCTTACTGGAACATTCATGCATAAAGAAAGGGATGCAACATTCAGCAGGCAAATTGAAGTGCCGCAAGTCGGCATCAAGTTCTCTTCGTTTGTAGGAATCTGTGGTGTTTATAATACTCAATACAATAATGGAATTATAGATGCCCTCTTCAAATTTTATATACTAAAAAATTCAACACGAGGCCATTTGTATTCGTGCTATGATCCACAAGTGCCGACGCTCCTCCTGTCTTCGCAAAGTGATTTGTTTATTAGTCAAACTCGTCAATTTGTAGCAGCTCACTCATGCCGGATAGAAATGTACCCTAGAGATTTGCCGCATTTGTTTATGAAATTAATTGATCAAAAGGAATCTCAAAACGGTATGAACAAAATTGTGGAGTTCATCAAGCAGGCACAAGAGCAAGGTGACTTTTGAGATGACTTGCCTATCGGTATATATGTATGACATGTATTTCACGTAATTTTTTAAAGTATATAATGTGCGTAATTTTCCATTTTTTGGCTAACGGTTCAGCTTCGACATTCCCGTTATCGCAAATTTATATTTTTAAGTCAGCTTTGAGTCAACTGGTTTTGCAATTCACGAATTATTTAGTGAACATCACTAAATTAATGTTATTTATTCCTAATCGATTGTAATCGGAATGGAAGTCCATTAGCTTTTCACTCGGTGAATCCCGCATAATGTGATTATACAAAATCGAATAATTGAATAATAATCAGTTAATGAATTAGTACTATTATTGCTTTATTACTTAATCTATTGCTTTATGATAATGTGTCATTTTATTTACCCATGAAAAGTGCCCACATATGATTGATTTGCCCGGGCAATTACAATTTTTTGTAATCCTCGTTTTTTGTCATATTAATCTCTCAGTTTTTTCTGAACAATCCAAGTATTTTTCGTCAATTAGCCACACATGCATCCAATTTTTTTATTATTAATTCAAATCTTTGACATTGGTATGAATTTTTAAAATACTGTAATGAATGTATTTTAATGAATCCACCTGTGTTGCTAAATTCTCAGTCATTCCTCCGCAAATAGCGTTTAGTTCTGAAATTTACGACTGATGAATATTAAAGATTTTATATAATTAACAAAGATTATTTTAATGAAGAAATAGAAAAAATGAGTGCATTATGCGCAGTAAAAAAGTGTTGAGAACTATTAAATTAAAAGACGAATGCAATTAAAATTGAAACATCATCCTCCAATTGTTTAATACGTTTTTATTTTACACTGTATTATATCTAATAAATAGTCTATATATAGTAAACTTTAAATTATGGAACTTCAAAAGCATTTGCTCTGGCTCGTTCCTGTATTGATTTTGATTCTTCTTTCATATTTCCTAGATAAAGGCGAAACATTGAGGGCTGTTACCAAGTGGATTTTAATTGGACTTGGTTTGACACTCACTGCAGTAATTGCTCTGCGATTTATTCCGAAACGAAAATAGATAAAAGTGGAATAATATATCACCCAATTTACTAACAAATTCATTACACCTAGTGGAAAAATGCAACCATCATAATTAACGGACTAACTAACTAACTAACTACATAGGCCAGTAATTAAGTTAATTGATTTTCCAGAAAATTAGTTTTTTTCATATTAGCTGCTGATAATTGATCATTTGCGAAAATATTATCCATTCATTTCCCAAGTATAAATTGAACTATTGAATCCCTAAAATTAATGAGATACAGAATTATAACATTCAAGAAGTTTGGATGATAATTATGAGCCTTGTTGGTATTTTTTTTGTTTACACTAGCGTATATGGCGCGCTATGCGCGCCAAATCGTCCACGTATGGGGTGTTATCATTGGAATATATATATATTTATATATTTCCAAGGTAATATATACATATATAGAATTTCAAAAAGAAAATAGAAAAAAGTCTGAAAATTTTTTATATAAAAAAAATTAATATAATTTATATATTATATATTATATATATTATTTATATATGTATATATTATATATATATATATCATATTATATAGATATATTTTGATATGCATAGCGCCAAAAAAAGCTGACAAAAAACGTTACATGCTTTTTTTTAAAAGGGATAGGTTCATCATATCATGCGTAAATAATGCATAAAAATCTACAACGTGTAAACCGGATTTTTTTTTCTCGAAAAATTTGTTCATATGAAATAGATTTAAAAGGTCGGATTTTGTTGGGAAAACGCCTGTATCAGGAATTCAATATGTAAAGACAATCGTTCTAAAGATTTTTTCACTGACCTCAACTATCTGACAACTGAAAAGTGATTTACAGTGGTCACAATACGTTTCCATGAGAATTGACATGGAGAATTGCTAAATAAATATTTTTATTTTACAGATCCTAATGGAACAGGAATTCCCTTTTTCGAATATTGTCGAATAAAAACTAACATTGAAGAAGCGAATGAAGGCAGAAATCTGTTCTGGTTGTTCGAAAATGTCGCGCCAATGCCCGAGGAATATAAAAAAGACATTGACAAGTAATTGACATTTTTTATTATTATTATTCTTCAGGCAATCGCGTACAACAATCGATAACTGCGATAAAATCAGAAAATTGGATAATCCTCCACCATTTATTTTTTTATTTATAGCTTTAGATCCATTAGCTCTTCACCCGGTGAATCCCGCATAATGTGATTATACGAAATCGAATAATTGAATAATAATCAGTTAATGAATTAGTACTATTATTGCTTTATTGCTTAATCTATTGCTTTATCGTAATGTGTCATTTTATTTACCCATGAAAAGTGCCCACATATGATTGGACAACTCCCACTATTGCCCGGGCAATTACAATTTTCTGTAATCCTCGTTTTTTGTCGGATTAATCTCTCAGTTTTTTCCGAACAATCCAAGTATTTTTCGTCAATTAGCCACACATGCATCCAATTTTTTATTATTAATTCAAATCTGTGACATTGTTATGGATTTTTTAAATACTGTAATGAATGTATTTTAATGAATCCACCTGTGTTGCTAAATTCTCAGTCATTCCTCCGCAAATAGCGTTTAGTTCTGAAATTTACGACTGATGAATATTAAAGATTTTATATAATTAACAAAGATTATTTTAATGAAGAAATAGAAAAAATGAGTGCATTATGCGCAGTA